TGCACAGGTAGGATGGAGGTTGGCCACCAGACAACAAGGCGTTTCTCCCCCCTTAATTTCCACTCCCCCTTTTCCACTTTCACCCCTCAGGCTGTTTCCCCCCTTTTAATCCTTCTACTGGCTATTTTCCCTCAATGTTTGTACCCTCTGTTCCATTGATTAAGGCTGTATAAAGCTTCTCCTTAGTCAGATTTCACCTGTACAAAAGTGTCTTGGGCTGGGAGTAGGATACACAAGGATTTGGTCCAGGTCCTTAAAATTGCTTACAGGTAATCAGTCTTAGTGGCCATTCCAGTAAGTCTGCAAAGGCACAGTGACCCATGCCAAGCCACTTCAAGAAGTATCCATAGAAAACTTACTAGTACAAGGTAGGTGACACATAAAGTCCTGCCACCAGGCAGTGTGAGTTCAGGTGATGCTCTTACCAAGGTTTAAATAAATGGCTGATTCTTCATTTAGAGGGATGCCTCTGTTAGTCTTCTGATGCCTTCTGACTCCGTAAGGAGGTGATGGGAAGGGCAGCCCCATTGTGGACCACTGGTAAGGTTCACAGTGACCCCTGGTGGTTCCTGGAACAGTCTGAGAAGCAAGGCCTGAGTGGTTCAGCAATTGGGCTGATTGATATCATTCATTTAAAAAATACAAACAAAACAAACACAACACAGCATCTACATCTGCACCCTGGAGGAGATTTCCCTAACTTCTGTTGTTTTGTAAACAATTAAAGCACTTTTAACCAAATTCCACCATAAAGCCCTCAACCCCACTCTCACAATATTGACAATTGTCTGAGATGGGCTCATCTGGCTGTTATCTGGCTCCTCTATGCTCCTAGGCCTTCTGGGAAACTCGAGCTCCCGGGCTGATGGCTGTATTCTTATGATATCAACTTTCCATGGTGATGTGATTTCACCCAACCTCAAGTTTTCATGGTACCAATCAACCAATTAATAAGCATTTGTGAAGTACCTGCAAGGTTTGTGTCAGACACTATACTAAGTCCTGGAGATACAAAGATATAAATAAAAGTCCCTGCCCTCAAGGCATTTACATTACCTTGGGAGAGAACCAACATGTACACACATAAAGTAAATAAAAATAAATAGAAGTGAATTTTGGTGTTTGTTGCTCAGTGGTGTCAGACTCTTAGAGACCCCATCTGGAGTTTTCTTGGCAAAGATACTGGAGTGGTTTGCCGTTTCCTACTCAGGTTCATTTTACAGATGAGGAAACTGAGGCAAATTTTAAGTGACTTTCCGAGGGTCACACAGCTAGTAAGTATCTGAGGCCAAATCTGAACTCAGGTCCTCCTGACTCCAGGGCTGGCACTCTCTCCACTATGCCACCTAGCCGTCTTTGAATTCAAATCCAGCCTAAGACACTTAATAGCTGTGGAACCTCTGGACATGTCACTTGATGTTTGCCTCAGTTTCCTCATCTGTAAAATGAGCCAGAGAAGGAAATGGCAAACCACTCCAATATCTTTGCCAAGAAAACCTCAAATGGGACCATGAAGAGTTGGAATTTTGGTGGAGGAAGCATGAATAGCTTGCTGGGGAGATCAGTAAAGGAGGTGGCATTTGAATTGAGCTTTGAAGGAAGTAAAAGAGGCGAACATTCTAAGAGGTGAACAAGGAGTACATTCCAGGCATGGGGCACAGTTTATGCAAAGGCAAGGAGGTGGGAGATAGAATTTTGCACTCGAGGAATAGAAAATTGTCCAATTTGGCTGTATTACAGTGTCTGTAATATGTTTGAAGAGGCAGCCTGGAGTCAGATCTCCAAAGGCTTTCGATGCTAAGCTAAGGAGTTTGTATTTTATCCCAGAGGTAGTAGGGAAGTCTTGGAGCTTTTTGAACAGAGGGGTAACATATTCAGACTTGTGCTTTAGGAATATAAATTTGGCAACTATGTGGAGGATGGATAATAGTGCAAAGAGACCAATTAGGATACTATTGCAATAGTATAGGTGAGAGGTGATAAGTGTCTGAGCTTGGTGTCTGTGATATGAGTGGAAAGGAGGAGATGGATGTGAGGGAGGTTTGGAGATAGGATTGTCAAGATTTTGTCAACGGATGAGAAAAATAATGATAACAGCTAAAATTTGTATAGCATTTCCTATGAGCCAACAAAATGCTTTACAAATATCATCTCACTTGATCCTCACCACAACCCGGTCAAGTAGGTTCTATTATTATCCCCATTTTATCGTTGGGGAGACAGAGGGGAAGTGATATTCCAAGCGCTGTGTAAAGTGTTAGGGATGTAAAGAAAGACGAGGTCATGATTTTGAAGGATCTCACAGTCTGATTGGGAAGACAACATGCCAACACTTATATACAAACGAGATATAGATGGGACAGGTTGGAGACAGTCAACAGAGGGCAGGCACTGGAGCTAAGGGGGATCAGAAAAGCCTTCAAGATGAGGGGATTTTAGCTGGGAGTTGAATGAAGCCCAGACAAGCCAGGGAAGCTAGGAGTAGAGATGAAGGTATTTCCCCCAGTAGGGATAAGGGCTGGTGTTGGGACTTGTCACAAATTCTGGTTGAGCTGGTCTCATGGCACTTAGTGAAGTTCTCCCAATTTGGGGATGGTTGGGGAGGGTTTCACAGCCTGGAAATGCTTGAGAATGTATAGATCAGATGTGTAGCATGGTAAACTGAGAATGAAAATATGGAATATGGGTAATAGAGCTGAAAGGTCAAAGGTGAAAATGGTGTCTAGAGTGAAAGCAGGGTCAAAATCAAATCAAAGTCTGCAGAGGGTACAGAGAAGGTAGGTGTAGAGCTAGGTTTTGCTTGTGTTTATGTGTGTGTGAGGTAGCTAGGTGGTGCAGTGGGTAGAGTGCTAGGCCTAGAGTCAGGAAGACTTCAGTTCAAATCCAGCCTCGGACACTTATGAGCTGTGTGACCCTGAGCAAGTCACTTAACTCAGTTTCCTCATCTGGAAAAGAAAAGGGCAAACTTTCCAGTATTTTTGCCAAGAAAACCCAAATGGGGTCATGGAGAGTCAGATACTGAAAGGAATGAACAACAACAATTTGTGTGTGTGTGGGAGGGAAGGGTATTGAAGTGAACAACAAGGTGTAGAACTTGACAAACTATTTTCTTACTTTCCTGTTCTTGATGCAGAAGTGAATCTTAGAGTTTCACTTCTAACTTGCTTTCAGAGCTTTTTCATCTTGCTCTCAGGGTCAGTGGCTGTCTCCAACTAAGCAGAGGTGGGGTGGAGTTTTGCCCCACAGTACCTAGAAGGCAGCACTGAAAGCTTCCCCTCCCTAGTAATAAGTGTTCAAATCATACCTCTAACACTGAAATTTAAAAAAAGGAAAGAGAAAGTAAATATCTCTAAGTATCTTTAAATAGATTTGAAAGCAAACAAGTAAAAAAAAATTACCAGGTCTAAGTGTTGGTAGATAGTGGGGGTGCTATAAATAGTATTCTTGAGATGGCTATGGGTTAAATTATCAGTGGTGTCAAACTGAAATAGAAACTAGGGCCTCCTGCAGGAAGCATATTGACTTAGAAAACCACAAATTAACATGAGCTATATTCTATTGTATTTCTATTTATTTTGTTAAATATTTCCCAATTACATTTTAATCTGGTTTGGGCTATACTTGGGAGT